TAAATGCCTACAGTAAATAGTTCCTTTGATAGCTGCTGATCAAAATACCTTCTAGTAACATGAGGGCACAAAAGCAGCAGAGTGGAAAATATGCATCTGCTCACTCCCCTGCACTTCAGATATCATTTGTGTTCTCTTCAGTTTCTACCCAGCCCTTTAGCACTCAAATGATGTAAAAAAAAAAACCCTAGTAGCCCCTATTTTGGACCCAATTCTTTAAATCCTTCAGGGTTTTTGTTTCCACTTGGATTGGGCAATATTTGAAGAGAACTTTTTGTTTTCTGAGTAAGTTTTGTAATGTTTGTGTTCAGCTTAGGGGAGTTAAAGAAATAAAACTGGCTTCTAAATGGGAGGAAAATATTGCAAGTAAATATTGCAATATTTACTCTCGTTTTACGTAGAGTTACCGTATGAGACATTGTTATGACAGATGTTGTCCTTCTCTAGACCAAAAGGGTAAATATGATATGAAAACTTTCTGTAGCCATTCAGTGACTATGGTTTATGTTGTTCCTATGAAATGGTAAGCTAAGAAAAGCAAAAGGGTGACTCACAAAAAGTTTCATGCCGGAGATAACTTCTATTGAACTTTAGGGTTAATTTACTATCGCAGCTGTTATGCATCAAAAATCAAATCTGATAATTATATATCAAAAGGAACTTTCTATCTAAGGTTTATATGGCCTCCATCCTGATAGCATCTAAACACCTCTTAATCTTTAATGTATTTATCGCCGAAAAGAAAAATGCTGTTATCCCTCTTTTATAACTGGGAAACAGAAGCACATAGAAACTAAGTGACTTGTTCTAGGGATGTTAAAATGTTTTTATTCCAGTAAACGTGTAATCACTGAAATATTAAGCAATTACACAGTTACATGCCATGGGAGAAGCAGCTCCCTGAATATGCCAGCTCCCGCCTTCCTCTACCCCCACTCTGCTGTCTCTGGCTACATCTAGACTATGGAGTTTTCCCGGGAAAAATCCCGCTGCGTCCAGAGAGTGCTTTTGCTCTTCCTTGTCTTTTTTGCGGAAGAGCAAATGCGTGTTTCGGGGAGCCCTGTATACCTCATTCCATGAGGGATAAGGGCTCCGCCAAAAGAGGAAGCTTTTCCACCTAGACTGGACCAAATGATGGAAAAGCCTCTTCTGGAAAAGTGATCAGAAAAAGCTACGCAAATTGCACTTCACAATTTGCGTAGCTTTTTCCGATAAAGTCCCATAGTCTAGATCTAGCCTTAGATACAAAATCAGCAGCATGGTGGGGTGGGGTGAGAGGATGCCGCTCCATGGGGGCCTGCAACCAGGCTCATCTGTTAACCATGTACATGGTTACATTTTCACATCTCTAACTTTGTTCAAGGTCCTGCAGAGGGAATGCACAGCAGAACAGGATTTTTCAACTGGAATTCTCAAATTGGATCTTTCTCATGCTAGTGCCCCAACTACTGAGAACTGTCTCTTCTCTCTGGTTTATCTTGTGGTTATGTTATGAGTAACACCTGCCCAGTTGAGTGTCTTCACTTGCATCCCTCATGCCAACTCTGTTACTTAGAGTAGTAACTGATGACTCTACTGATATCAAACTGCAAAAAGAATCTGTTTTAATTATCAGAAAAGGTGCATGAAATTTTATGCATGGAGCATTAATTATTTCTGGAAAATGTATTCAAAACGGAGGGATATTTGGCATTTAAAAAATCTGTTTTTAGTGAGGCTGGAAAGTAAAAGCTTTTACTGACAGCATTCTCATTGTAACGGAGTAATGTGGGAGGAATACACATCGAGAGGTTTTCTAATGACATGCATCTTAATGAACAATGTTGATAGGTTATAAACTGTCACTTAACCTTTTAAGATTGGAATAATTGCTTGTTTCTGGTGTTCTTTGTGCTCCCACTGGTGCTGGGAGATGGGAGTTGGTGAGGCTGGTAGGCTCCCTACCCTTCACAAAAGTACCCAGCATGGAAGTGCAACTCCTAGAAGGAAGTGTATGACTGTGTGTGTGCTTGGGGAGAAGGGGATGGGGGAAGCACTCCATGTGCTGCCCCTGCCATGAGCACCAGCTCTGCAGCTCCTACTGCCAGGTCCAGATAACACACTGAATACGAACTGTCACTGACTTCTGGAATGCTTGGGAATATGTAAGCCATATCTGAGTCAACTTTGTGAAAAAGTCTCTCCCAGTCTCTGCTATTCAGATCACAAAATTCGACTCATTCTCTAGTGTTAAGTCACTTTAAAGTTTCCTATATGCCCCTGGCTCTAGGACAAGGCCCTATTTTCTTTCATTATGTCTCTCTCCTTTGATGAAAGATTTTAATTTTCATCTCTGTACATGTACCACCCTGCTTGTTTGGACTGTGGATGTGATCATAAGTGCCACAGGGACAGCTTTTAAAGTCCTGCTTTCTTAAGGAAGGAAAAATTATCATCAGGAGACGTAGCCTCCTTGGACAATACAGCTCTATCCACATGAATGATTTCTCCTTTCAAAAAAAAATCTCACTATGTAATTAAAAAAAACAGTACCT